GGCGAGCCAAGCTGCCCTCGCTGCCCCGCAGCCTCGCCGGCCCGGCCAAGGGTCCTGTCCTGTCCGGGTCCGCAGGGCTCTGCCTTACCCTCCCGGACTTTCACTTTTCCCCACCCTTTGGTTCTCAGCCCTGTGATGTTAGCCACAATTAGTGCTCGCTCCCTCTCACTTTTCAGGCCCCACCCCCACCCCTTCCTCCCTCCGCACCCAGCGTCTCCCCCTCCCTATCTTCCTTCCTATCTTTCCCATCTGCTTTCTCCAGGGCCTCTTTTCCCAGGATTAAACTTGACCGCAGCACATTTCCCTAGGTCGGCCGCATTCTTTCCTGGAACCTTTTATTAGAGTGCTTTTGCCCTTCTCACCTCCAAGCATTCATCTGTCACAACGCTCATCCCCTTGACACCAACCCAAGAAGACTCCCCAAAGAGCCCGGCGTGGTCAACTTGACCTTCATTCTTTTTTCCATTCGTTGTACCCTTTCTGTTGCATAGGTCTGTGGGCTCCCTAGATCTTATGCAGACGGTGCCAAGCGGCGACAAATACCACCATCCCCAACTGTGCAAACCACAGCAAAGCAGTTGCATCACTGAACATCCGGAAGTGAAAGCCATTGCATCCAGAAATTGTCCACAGTAGAAGAAAGCAATATAAACCTTTTGTTCTGTTTTCTTCTCTCTCCTCCTCTCCTGTCTTCTCTCATTTCTTCCCTCCCTCCTTCCTTTTCTTCTTCCCTCTCCTCCCTTTTAATACTATTGATGGCTCAGCCCCCCACCAAATGTGCAAAGAAATGGCATTGACAGCACTAACTTTTACACGCGCCTCAGAACATCAATGATCTTATTTCTAAAAAAAGCTTTTTCAAAAACTCTCAATATCCAAACAGCAAAAAAATTAATTCTACACAGGTCATAATAGCAAAAAACTCCAACAAAAAAATTTTTTTTTTGGCACCACTGATTGAACTCGGGTCCTTGTGCTTGCAAAGCAGGCCACCGAACCGCTGAGCTAAACCCCCAGCCCTCAACAATTTTTATAATTTTGATTTTTGAAAGGTAACATAGCTACGAAAAAAAGAGGTGAGTGTTTACATTTTAATTTTTAGGTGATATATTGAATGGTTGGCCTCTTCCCTTGTTTTTCATATAAATTATATATAAAGCTATGTTCTTTCTTGGCTATTATCCATTCTATTGCTACTTAGAGGATAAAAGTAGAAAGGAAGAAAAAAAGTAAAAATTGTTTCAATTATTTTAGAAAACATGCTTTTCAAAAACCCCTTAATGAAAAATCAGAAACTGTTTTGGCTTTTAATCTGCAGCCAGACCAGAGATCTCAAATCTCCCTTTTAAGTTAACAAACACTCAAAGAAGGTCAAAGCTGCAGCATCTGTATATTTCTGGGAAAAGAGAATCTTTCTTATTTCTCTGCCCAGGTTGTCTGTCTTACTAAAGAGCTCTTTCCTCCCTGTTTTGCCCCAAGTTGAGTGCTTTGCATAGCCTGGTATACCTTTTAGCTCAGCGGACAGCCCTCTTCTCCCTCCATTAGCTACTACAGGCTTTATTATAAACTCCAGCTGCTTTCAGCCCTTACAGAAGTTCTTTCTCAGTTTTGTTCCTTGCAACATTACCTTTTTCTTGTCTTGCTGTATTCAGAAAACAATGTGGCTACTTCAACTGTAAAACTAGAATAATACAGTAAACACTTCCCAGAGCTGTTATAAGTGAACAATATCAAATGTGTTAAGCACCTTAATTAGTTGTATAGGTGTCAGTTTGCCTAGTAATACCATATATGGCATACCAATTGCATTTTTTTTGTTCTTGTTACACAGATATCACTTACTAACTCCTGATGCTCATTTTTTTTGTCTTTTTCATTAAAATTTGAAATTTTTCTCATAGGTTGGCTCTCAGATTTAGAATCTTCCCATTTAAATATGCTGAACACCCAACAACTTTCTGTCCTCTGTGGAAATCTCTAGTTAATTCCTCCTCCCAAGCTTTCCCAAACATATTTTCCTTAATACTACAGCCACCAACATACTGCACTCTATTGGTTAATTTAAGAGCTAAATTTCTAATATGCTATTTAATAATCCTTCCTTATAATGTAGGCAAATGTACCATAAAGACAAATTTGAAGAGGACAGATAAAACAGAGAAAAGATAAAACATCTCCACAATAACACAGTTTATATGTTTCCAAATTAACAGTGACCTGCTAATATTGCCCTTTGGAAAAGGAATTAGGAAAGGAAGAAGTGATTTACTTAAATACAATTATTTTATTTTTGATCTTTCAAAGAGGGACACATATATTTAGAATTTAAAAAATCTATTTTAATAATCTTTCTCTATAAATTTGTATGAAGACTCAGAAATCCATTCAGGAAAGGACAGATAGCTCTATATATTTCTTTTCCAAATGTATATAACTATTGGTTTGCTTGTATTTATTTATTTTTAATTTTAAGGCTGACAGAGAGCTCTCAAGTAATTAGCAAGTCCTAAATAATCCATAAAAATTAGAATGCTAGTAAGGGAGGTTTAAATTTAGGTGTTTACTGATTATATTTTTCTTTTAAAATCACATATACAGTATTCATATGCAAAATTTGAGACAGTGGTAACAGATTCAAGAGAGTATAGAACTGGGGAAAACTGACAGTCTTCTTTTCTATGATGAGTTTATCTGAAACTGGAAAGTATAAATTGATTTATTTTGTCCTTTGTTTTCATCTACTTTTGGAATTCCTCAAATTCTTTTGAGCCTGTTCATTCACATAGTAATTCATTTGTTTTAGAAGTTATCACATTCCAGGAATTTTGGATCATCTACTGTGTACCATTTCAGGGGTAACCCTTTTTCTCTGACACTAGGAAACCTTTCCCAGACTATAGGGATTGCTGGGGCTGTTTGGATTAGAGGTCAGTGAAGAAACGACTGTTTTTAAAAAATAGCGATAGCAATTAGTAACCATGTTTCAGTTAACGCAACTAATTGTGAATTCATGGTGGAAGCATGGATCTTGTCAAATTATTGATGGTGAATGATATAATTGATTATCATGGGTCCAGGAGCCACTCTTAGAACATCCTTGTCATTATATTGTTTTGGCAGCAGGAACCAGTTTCATGGAAGACGGTTTTTCCCGCAGAGATGGATGGAGTGGGTGGGATGATGATGCGGATAGTTTGGGGACTTCTTGACCTAGATTCCTTTCAGGAGCATGCGTAGTTCACAGGGTTTCCTTGCTCACAGCTCACCTCCTGCCATGAAGGCTGGGTTCCTGACTTATACTGTATATGTGGCGGGGGGCAGTGTTTTGGGACTTGTGTGTTTTGTTTTAAAGGATACAAATAAACACCTCAGTGAAGATATGCATAGGGCAAGGTTTAGAAGGATCCTGAGCGCAAGTGCTTCTATCCCTGCAGAGTTGTGGTGTGTCCAACTCCCAGCACATGGATGTGCTCTTTCTCGCCTTTCTAGAAACTCTTGAACTCGATTCTTTGAGTTTTTATGAGGCTTCATGAAGTAGAGGATGATTGATTGAATCATTGTTCATTGGTCATTAATTCAACCTTCAACCCCTTTCTGCTCCTATGAGTTCCCTTCAAGCCTCTGAGCACACTGATTGGTTCCCCGGCACTTAACACCATCCTGCAGTCATCTGGGGCTTTCCAAAAATTACCTCCTTTATACAAACTCAGGTGTAGCTGAACAGGATTGTGTTTTACCTTTCTCATTCTGAAGCTATTATGGACATGTTTCAAAAATCAAGGATCAAAGGCCAAATATCTTTAAAAAAGACACTCTTAATGCTCTAGTTATGTGACAATTGCAAGGACTATAGGAGCTATGAACCAGGAATCATGGATGAAAATCAAAATACAGATGCTCCTCATTCTGCTTTAGGATTATGTCTCAATAAAGCATCATAAATTATAGATGTTGCAAACTGATAATGCATTTAATACACCAAATCTACGGAATATCATAGCTTTGCATTAGAACTGTGTCAGACAATTGGTTGTTTACTACCATGATCACAGGGCCGACTGGGTGCTGTAGATTCTGATGCAGCCCAGCATTGCAAGAGAATACTGTACTATCCTGTGTATTGCTTCCTGGGAAAAGATCAAACTTCATAATTTGAAGTATAGTTCCCACTGATTGTTTTTATATTACTCTAAAGTTGAAAAAGCATAAATAGGG